TGTAAGAGTTCCAGAGATGTGCTGATAACCTGAGTTGATTGGGACATCCAGAACCACCAGAGATTGAGAGGTACAACACTTACCAGCCCATAAACTCCTCATGCAGCAGCTCCAGGAAACCAGAGATGAATCAGAGTAAGGTTGAGTACTTCAGTCTGCACCACCCACACTTTGACATCACCCAGCCACCCAGCAAGGAGCCAGGCAGCTACACAAGCCAGCTTGGTACCCAGAGCACACAAGGGTAGCAATTAACTGCACTGCACCTAACTGAGAAAGTGCTTGGTATAGCCTAGAATACAGAACAAATTAGATTATCCCAATGCAGGATCTTTTGAAAAAATATTTGTCTTACACTTGAACCAATACAGCAGTTATAGTCCCTTTCCTGAATAAATGCCCACCTCTGATAAATAGCCCAATGCCTGAGTAATGATGTTGAACTTGGTGCAGATGCATGCAAAGTCATCTCAGACCTTCCACTTCAAGAACATGAAAGCAGTTTTCTACAGCTTTAGCAACACATTTGGAGTACAAATTTCTCATCCCAGACAGCTGGCACTACCAGAGTATAGAAGTTTCATCTGAAACTGGTCAGATGCTTCTGAAAGTAAGGTTAGAGAAAATAAGTGCTTTCAACCATATTAAATTAATATTAGGACCATTTTGCAGCACAGTTTTAATATTTAGCCTGGAACAAGCATTGTCTCAGTGTCAGATGTGTGGCTACCATTGTCAACTGTGAAAAGCTGCCCAAGTTCTACAGCTGAAGCTATAAAATAGAAACTGTAAACTCTAAAAAGCATGATGAGGAGCACTGGACCATGAAATGTGAAGCAGGAAGGCAGGCAATGGAGCCACCTCATGGCTAACAGCAGACACCAACAGTGGGAGGAGGGAGAAAAGAAGAGGAAATATGAGGGGCTGCAGTGAGGTAGGAAAGAGGACATGGTTTCAACAGGAACAGAATGAGAAGATACTGAGGGACAGGGATAAGGATAAAGAGAGAGGGGAACTACGAACAGGAAAGAAAAAGGGGTGTAAAAAACACCCAAGCAATTAAGGAAAGGAGCGGACTACAGGTAGATTTCAGACAAAAGGAAAAAACTTGGCATTTTGAGAATGGAAAGAGGATATACACACAAAGTAGGAGTGTTTAGGCTGTTATGGAAAAGGAAAAATGCTTGTGAGAGCAACAAAGGGGACATAAGTCCAGAGGAGGCCACAAAGACACCCAAAGGGCTGGAGCACCTCTCCTGTGAAGACAGGCTGAGACAGCTGGGATTGTTCAGCTGGGAGAAGAGGTTTGGGGGGACCTTAGAGCAGCCTTCCAGTACCTAAAGGAGAACTATGGGAAATATGGAGAGGGACTTTTACAAAAGCATGTATTGACATGACAAGGGGGAATGGCTTTAAATTGAAAGAAAGTAGAGTCAGGTTAGATACTAGGAAAAAAATTCTTCACTGTGTGAGTGGTGAGATGCTGGCACAGGTTGCCCAGAGAGGTTGTGTCTGCCCCTCCCTGGCAGTGTTCAGGGCCAGGCTGACTGGGACTTTGAGCAGCATGCTCTAGTGGAAAGTGTCCCTGTCTATGGCGGTGGGGGGTGGACTAGATGAGCTCTAATGCCCCTTCCGACCCAAAGCATTCTACAATGATACTATAATAAACTAGGAAAAGAGTGCAGTAGATGGAGACTGTAGCAAAAGGAAATGTACAGAAAAGAGAGAGGTAGAGAAACAGTTGTATTTCAGAAACGAGGTTTGAATCAATTATTCCATAGACCCAGCATTGCTTTGTTGTCATACACTATTATCTCATTAACGCACTGACAACATTTGGTCCTCAGTCTTTACCTTGTGGCAGGTCAAAATACAAGTTCATATAGCAGGAGAGGATGAATGCTGCTAATTGATGTGGCAATCCTCAGTTGCTGCTTCATTTCAGATTATGGACAAAGTTCTAGGAATCAGTATTAGAAGGCTGACAACAAATGAAGAAGGGATGAGCAAGAGGAGAGATCAAGTGAGGCAAGAGAATGGTCACCTCAAGCATGAGGCAATTTAATGATACTTTGGAGAGCTGCAACCTGTGAATACTACAGTCACAAAGCTTTATGTAGTAACAGATTTGCTTTGAGACTGACAGTATTGCACCAGTCTCCCATTGCACCAAGCAATCAGTTTGGGGTGGTGTTCAGAAGCATTGAGCTCTCACAACTGCAACCAAAAGCAAGCGGAATTTGACTTGGGAAGGAAGAAGTGCTGTGAGCCTTACAGTTACAAAGCATTTTGGTTTCAGTCTTCATGTATCATTTCTGTGTAAGATATGGATTAACTGGTTTGGAGGTCCACAGAAAACATGCACATCATTTACAATTAATGTCTGTATAACATTACTCACTAAATATTAGAGCTGCACTTGTAAGCTTAGCTCTGGAAGCTCTCCTTTTAACCTTAACTTTGTGATTTCCTGAATTAAGTTTACTTTCCTTCATTTTCTTTTACTGGAAGATTATTTAAAATTTCATAACATAATTCTGCTAGGCACTGTGGCTATAATAATACTGTATTATACCAAAAAATGAGTCTTAAGACATATGTAATGACTCAATATAAGAAAAAAAAATACAAATAAAATTCATATTATTTTAATGCACCTAAACATCTGTTCAGAGTCTAAGAGTGTTTGCCTTTGCTATTGTTGGGGGGGGGGGGGGGGGGGGGGGCTAGAACAGCAACATTTGTGCAATGGCACGAGCAAGAACACCTCCTGTAGTTCTAGCAGTCAGTAACTGAAGAAGTATGACTACCATGGTGGTCATTACAGGGGGTGCTAACCTAGGAGCCACAGCTGGATAATCCAACCTGTTCAACTGTAGAGCTTTCACTGCTGTTAAATTTATACTAGCCTATAATTGTAACATCTTCAATGTTTCGTTCCAAAGAAACATAGCATATTAAAATAAATGTGACTATTTTGTTATTAAAAGAGTGACACACAGGCAGTCTTATTTCACACCTTCAATAGAAATGCAGAAGGGTTTGCATTGGAAGGGATCTTAAAGATCATCTAGTTCCAAGCCCCCCTGCCACGGCAGGGACACCTTCCACTAGATGAGATTGTTCAAAGCCCCATCCAACTGCCAGTGATGGGGCAGTCACAGCTTCTCTGGGCAACCTGTGCCAGGGCCTCACCACCCTCATAGTAAAGAGCTTCTTCCTAATATCTAATCAAAATCTGCTTGCTCTCAGTTTAAATCTATTCCCTTGCTCTATCACTCTATGTTTTTGTAAAAAGTCCCTCTCCAGCTTTCCCATAGGTCCTCTTTAGGCACTGGGAGACTGTTACAAGATAACAGCTTAGTATCATAAAGTTGATACTGGCCTTCACACTTTCCTTGTTGCAAAATTGAGAGGAAAAAAAAAAGTTACAAAAATCTTGAGGCAAACATGATTTCAAGAGAACATTTGCAATTTCATTCATATGCAATTTAAAAGTGTCACTGAAGTCAGTGGACGTGATCAGGGTTTCTCCCGACCAAATACAATTACACTTCCTGACTTAAATAAGACATTAACTCCTCAAGTGCATTTCTAGTAGGTTATTTGCTTGAAAATAATGCAGCTGGCTCTTTGTATGTAACAGGTGTTCAGAAAATGGTCATAATCATGTAATTTTTATAAATCCAAGCATGGATTACATAAATGGAATTTTTGCAGGATTTCTTCATCCGTGACTCAGTAGTCTAAGAATCTAACGCAAGCAGAAGCACACTTACAAGCAATATTTATATTATAAACGTCATTGATATAACTTCTGAACTGTCATTTGCAAATCAAAAATATTTGAAACTCTCTGCTACAATTATTGTAGTTTGACCCCAAACTGTGTCTTCAGAAGAAAGACATCAGAAGTGCTGTTAGCTTTGTGCTTACCTGACAGGGTTATGATGAGAAGGAGCGGTAGTTGCACTCTTGCACGGGCAGAATTGTCACAGAGCAGTATAGCTGAACATGCTAAAACCCCTCCTGTTTTAATGGCTGATATTGTCAGCTGATTGAGAGCAATTAAGATGAGCATTTGGGCTGCATTTTCTCCTTAGCAATATAAGCCTTAACCCCATGACATAAGACAATGTAATGATAGGTGAAGGTAGGTGGCAAAAAGTAAAAGGGTTTATAAATACAATAACAATGCTCTTTGTGAATCATTTGAGTCCAACATAAATCACTGTGTAAAGCAAAACCACCTTCATGTCTACAAGAGTGCAAATCCAGTTGGCTTCCAGGCACACTTTAAAAGCAGCCTCTGAAACTTACCTAGCTTCTTCTGTTAGAGACTATAGTTTCAGACAGCAGGTTTTCCCCAGTACATTAATGGCAGCTGCAAATTCCAGCTGGCACTTATAAAAGGAGAAAAAAATACAAAACCCGCAGTTAGGTACAGTTCTGTACTCCAAGAGACAGACAGCTGCACAAGTCTAGCCATTCAGTTATGAAATACAGCCACACCTGGGAACAAACTTTTTAGGAGCTGGAGACCATTTTAAAGCCACTGTCATGGTGAAAGAAACTGTCACACAGTATCTGCGTTCACTTTACTTCACCTTCGGGCATGACTGATTTAACTGTAGATTAGTCTCCTTAAAAGCCAAACAGCCAAGAAGAATGACATAAAAAAGCTGTACATACATTTATTTTTCCTGAAGTACAAAATATATATATATATAAATATAGTTTAAAACAGCTTATAAAGCCGTGTTCTGGGCAAACAAGTAACAGTGCTGATGTTGCAACAATGAAGACCATTTCGGCATGGAGGTAAAAAAAAGGGTGAACATGTCGGCACATCAGTCCAGTTTGAACCATGCTTTAATCTTCATGACAGTAATGTACTTCCGCCCAAACAGGGATTGTGAAACTGTCCCGAGAAGATTCAAATAAATTACACAAATAGGAGCGGGGCTGAGGGCCCGCCCGCAAGTCCAACCCAAGAGGAGCCGCGTTCCCGAGGAGGCCCTCACACGTCGGGGTAGCCGCAGTAGTACACGGCGGTGCTGGCGTCCGACACGGCCGAGGAGACGGGCCCCACGCTCTCGGCCACGTCGTGTCCGGCGAAGGTCAGCCCCAGCTCGGGCTTGCAGGCGAAGTGCAGGTACTGCTCGAACTCGGTGCGGTCCACCTCGCCCAGCAGCTCCTCCGGCGGCAGCTGCTCCAGCTGCTCCCGGCACGGCGCCGCCTCGGGCGGCGGCGACGGCTGCCCGACGGCCCCCGGCGGCAACGGGCCGCGCCCCGGGCCCGGCGGCTGGCACGCCTGCCCGTAGTAGGCGTGCAACGGCGCCGGGCAGCCCAGCAGCCCCTGCAGCCCCTGCAGCGCGGGGCCCGGGCCCAGCGCCTCGCCGGAAGGCAGGTGCCGGCGCAGCGCCGCGCCCGCCGGGCTCTCGCCCGCCGCCGCCGAGTACTCGCCCGCTGCCGCCGGGTGCGGGGCGAAGCCGTAGGGCACCAGCGCGCACTCCTCCTGCAGCCCCGCCGCCAGGAACGGCGCTTCGCTCTCCACCGTGTCCAGCGGCGACGGGTCCGGCGTCGGCAGGCTGTACCCGTCGAAGCCGGCGCCCAGCGGCGGACAGTCCCGGTAGTGGCCCACGCCCGACACCGCGTAGCCCTGCTCGCCGTAGGGCAGGCTCAGGCCCTCCACGCACATCCTGCCGCTGCTGCCGCCTGCCTCGGTGCTCAGCCCGGGCCCCGCCGGCTCCGCCAGGCCGTGCTGCAGGAAGCCGCTCTCCACCCGCTTCAGGCGCTTCACCTGTTTCCGCCGCCGCGGCCGGTACTTGTAGTTGGGGTGGTCCTGCATGTGCTGCACCCGCAGCCGCTCCGCCTCCTCCACGAACGGGCGCTTCTCCGACAGCGACAGCGCCTTCCACGATTTACCTGCGCACACGACCACCGTCAGACCGGCCGCACACGGGCGGGACTCCGCGCCCGGCCCCGACGGCGCCGCCGTCTCGTCCGCAACCCGGCCCAGAGCCCCGGGCGGGCGCCGGCTTCGAGCTCTCGAACCCGCCCCGCGGGACCCCGGCATATCGGGAACTCCGCTCACCTGGAACCCCGGCACAACGGGAGCTCCCGGATCCGCCCTCAGTCCGTGCCCCGACACCCACCCGAGTCCCCCATTTCATAAACCCGCCCGCCGCATTCTACTACCCGCCAGTATCCCGAACCCCCATCCTAGCCTGCCGGCACCCCTCGCGCTCACCCAGCATCTTGCTGAGCTCGGCGTTGTGCAGGTCCGGGTTCTGCTGAGCCAGTCGCTTGCGCTCGTCCTTCGCCCACACCATGAAGGCATTCATGGGCCGCCGGATCCGCGCCTCGCTCTTGCTCCGGCCGCCCGACGCCCCTGACGCCGCCGCCTCGCCCTTCGCCTTCGCCTCGCCCAGCGGGCTCAGCGACTCTGCCCACGGGCACGGGCCCACGGCCGGCATCATAACGGGCAACGAGCACCGCCCCTGAGCCTGGTCCTCGCTGCTGGCGTAGCCCGCATCGGGGCTGCTCATGTCTGGCTGCGCCGCCGGGGCCGAGAGCTCCGGTGGGGGAAGCGGCTGCTCTCGTCGCTCTGGCCCCGCTCGCTGCTGGCAGCCGCTGTCGCCCGGCCCTATTTGAGCGGCGACGAGGCCAATGGGGCCTCGGGGGCGGTGGCGCGGCGCCGAACAGTGGCGGCGTCTCCCCCTGCGGTGCGGGGCGGCCCCGGGCTCCTCCCGGCGCGGCCGGCACCTGAGCAGGTCGAGGGAGCCGTCTGGGGTCCCCCTCGCCCTTACCCCCATCCTCTCCGAGCGTAGCACCGCGCACGGGGAAGGTTCTCTCCCCACCCGACTGTCACTGTCGATGCCCGCGGCATCCCCTCTGCTCTTTCTGCCCGTGTGGCTCGCCTCCTTGGCCAGCTGGTTCCCTTGAAACGCGGTGTGTTCAAAATCAAGCCAACCCTTAGTTCATCGGAACATTTAGAAAGGTTGTGAAGGCGATACTGTATAGTTTTCTTTAAAAAGATGCGGCTTTGGGTTTGATTTTGAAAATTATTTTCCTTACTGTCTGCCTGCCATCATTGCGAACGTGGTCCTGAGAAGTGGGACACTCAACGGAAAACACCATTGAATGTGTATTTGATGTTGTTTTCCATCGTGCCAATTACACTATTTCTCACCGTACGTCTGGGAAAGTGTTTTATTAGGGCCACATTCCATGCAGTTTGTATGCCTAGATTTGTCCATGAACGAGCAGCCGAGCGACCGGCGGCCTTGGCAAGACCAGTGTGACCTCGCTGGGCCGTTTTTCAGTCCAAAGCTCAGAACATCGGTGCCTTTATCCATGCAATTACTGCTTGTTAATTAAATAGTAGGGGTGGGCAGTTACGCGGAGGATTGGGAAGAAATACTGAATAGCTCGTGTACACAATAAACCGACACTGGTATTATTGAAGGCATCGTACAGTTTCTTGCTCGGTCGTGTGTGGATTGAAGTTGAGACAAAATAGTTTCAGGTTAATTCTTAAGGGAAGATCAGCGCTGACGTGAATTATACAGACTTTCGGCTTCCCTGGGGAGCACGGAACTCGGAGAGCCGATATAAATGCCTGCGGGCCGGGAAAGGGTGGGGGAGGGTTAAATACTGGAGAAACGATCGACCAGACATTTAACGATAATCATAACGGCGATAACGTTGTCAGCCTGAGTTCGGACAGAACGTAGATTAACATTTATATTTAAACGCCTGAAACTGCAGGGAGAAATGTCTTCTCCGCTCTAGTTTTTAACACTCAGGCACAAAGGATGACTTGTATTCTTTAAATACTCATTTTAAACTTCCCCAGTGAAAAAACAGGCAACCGTTCCGTTCACTGCTGTAACTGGGAGTCGATTTTTAGGGAAAACTCTGACAACCTCAAGGGCAGGATCAGAGTCGAGGTCAGGATCAGCCTCACCGCTCCTCATCGCTTTTAGCGGACTGCCTTCAAGCCCGGAGCCGCACCGCTGCTCTTGGCGGCTGCCTCCGCCTTCCGTGCCCGCCGCTGCACCCTCTGTCCCAGCTGTTCGGTAGCGGCACCTAAGGGCTATCGCGGTGCTTGGTCACCAAGAGCGAACCAGCCCTGTTAATCGTGGAGCGGCCGTCCGCTGTCCCTTTGAGGAGCGCTCTGGAGAGACTGGGCAGGACACCCGCAACCCACCCCCCACCCCTCAACCCCCCCCCAGCATTCTGGGGCTTCCCTTCGGCGGACACAAAATGCCTCAGTCAATTGGGTTAAATGAGAGCTGGCCGGGTCACGGCACAGTCCGGGAAGCGACTTTATGCCGCGATGTGAACTGCGTCAAGCGATTCCCTCACGGTATGTCAAAACTCGACAGTGTGAGCTGCTAGGGCTTGTCCCGTAAAGCGGCTCCACGGAGCATCATCGCCACCGGCACCTCCCCCGAGCAGGTACGGGTGATTTCCGAGAGCCAAAAATAAAATCACAATGGTTTGGTTTGGAAGGGACCTTAAAGATCATCTAGTTCCAACTATGGACAGGGACACCTACACCTGCCATTAGACCAGGTTGCTCAAAGCCCAGCCCAGCCTGGCCTGGAGAACTGTCAGGGATGAGGCAGCCACAACTTCTCTGAGCAACCTGTTCCAGTGCCTCATCACCCTCATAGCGAAGAATTTCTTCCTAATATCTAAACTGAATCTACCTCTTTCAGATTAAAGCCATTTCCTCTTGTCCTAACAACTACATGCCCGTGAAAAAAAGTCCTTCTCCAGATCTCCTGTAGAAACTTTAGGGGACATAAGCTGCTCTGAAGTCTCCCCAGAGCCTTCTCTTTTCCAGGCTGGACAACCCCAACTCTCGGCCTCTTCACAAGAAAGGTGCTGCAGACCTCTCTCTGATCATTTTTGTGGACCTCCTCTGGACTCTCTCAGGTAGATCCAGAGGTTTCAAATACAGATTCAGCAGCATAAAGGAAGGACATTAGGAGAGGTGGCGGATAAATCACCTACTCCTCAAAACAAAGTTTCAGAAATAATATAAGGGTGTAATTGCACCCGTTCCTCAGCCGTGGGACGCCAGAAGCGGCGGGGAACAGGGCCGTGCGGGGTGGGGAGCGGATCATGTGGTCTGTGCTGGCAGCTCCGGGGCCGGGCAGTTCCGCGCCCCTCGGGGCACGCACAGGAAACAGGTAACTCGTCTTTCTCCTTCATGTAACCTGTCCTTTTACAGGGTAGAAACTGCTTGTTCCCTACAGCGTAGGAATAGCTTAAATTTCTTTTTGTCTTTGGAAGATGTGGGCTTTGGTTTTGGTTTTGTTTCTGGTTTTGGTTGTTGTTTGGCTGTTTGGGGTTTGTTGTCTTGTGTTTTTGTGTTGGTTTGTTCTGGGTTTTTTTTTAATCCCAAAATAGGGGATATATTCAGCAGCAGCCAAGCTAGAGAGAAGTCACTCAGCGGTCAACAGGAACAAGGAAAATTACACAGCATTTGCTCTGGAGCAGTATTTGCATTTAGTTGAAATCTCCTTGTGCCACAGACCTCCTGTGAGCTTCTGAGTCAATCGTTCTGGGTAAAATACTGTCGTGGTTTAAACCCAATCAGACAACTCGTTCACTCACTTCCCCCCTTCTTTCCCTCCCCCTACTCCCAGAGGGATGGAGAGGAGAATCGAAAAGAATGCAACTCCCACGGGATGAGATAAGAACAGTTTAGTAACTAAGGTATAACAGAGATCACTACTGCTACCACCAATAATAACAATGATAAAGGAAATAACAAGGGAAGAGAATACAACACCTCACCACCAGCCAACCGATAACTCCCCCCCCCCCCCCCAGCCCAACCAAGCTCCAACCGATACCTCCTCCAACTCTGCAGTCTCCCAGCCTTTCTGGGTAACTCCCAGTTACATCCTGGGCATGACGTGCTGTGGTATGGAATACCTCTTTGGTCAGTTTGGGTCAGGTGTCCTGTCTGCTTCCTCCTGGCTTCCCCTCCTCCCTGGCAGAGCATGAGGCTCACAAGGTCCTTGGCCAAACCAAAACATCCTTGTTAAGCTCTGTTCCCAAGCCAAAAGTCAAAACACTGCACTGCACCAGCTACCAAGAAGGAGAAAAATGACTGCTACTGCTGAACCCAGGACAAACACATACAGTTAGAGTATCATCTGTGAGGGTGGTGAGACACTGGGACAGATTGCCCAGAGAAGCTGTGGCTACCCCATCCCTGGCAGTGTTCAAGGAGAGAGTGAATGGGGCTTTGAGCAACCTGGTCTAATGTAAGGGGTTCCTGCTCATGTCACGGGGGTTGGAGCTAGATGATCTTCAAGGTCCCTTCCAGCACAAACTGTCCTGTGATTCTGTAATTCCGTGATAAAAGAGTATCAGTTGTCAAGAAGCCTTGATGGACCAGCACACTGCATTAGATGAGGAATCAGATGCCGTATTTAAGAGCTTCTGTTAAAAGAGAAGGTGAAAGAAACTGTCGCCTTCTTGCAGATGGGAAGCTGCAGCAGAGAAATAGAGCTCTGATCTTGCAGTCATTTAATTACTGAACACATTAATTGCCTATTTAACGTTAAGTAAATGTGACTATGTACATCCTGGATTTCACAGCCCTGTCTGTAACACGTTACTTGGCACAGCAGCACCGTGGTGGTAACCCACTGTTGAGCCCCGATGCACACCACTGCCTCAGTACAAACCTCAAGGGGAGGCCATCAGCGGTCCCCCTGAGCGATTTGTTCCAAAATAACACGTAAATAAGTAAAACATCTCTAGAAAGAGAAATTCTGCAGCCTATGGATTGCTCTTTTTCTAGTTCGAAAAGCACGCAACTACCAGAAACGAACAACGGATATAAATCTGCCCAAAGCTAATGCTGTTTTCTCAGAGCCCAGCACCGCCGCTTCCTGACATTTGCAGTACCAGCTACCCTCCGTTAGTGAGTGAGGGTTCATTCTCACCACCTGACTTCTCGCTGCCGGCTGCCCCGTATAGACGAATCCTGAACTGGTTTTAATTCAGCGCCTTTGAAGTCTCTTTCTGTCAGCTGAGGCCTACTGACTTTTCTACCGACAAACCTAAGGAAGAAAGGGAACACACACACAAAAAGGAAAAGGAAAAAGAAAATGAGAAAGAAAACAAATAGGAAAAGGAGTCCAGCTGCAGTGTGACACCCACATAAGGAGCTTGTTGGAAAAAATGGAGATACGAGCACGGACACCTTGCAACACGAGGAACTGCTAACACAGGGACTCAAAAAAACTGAGCTGGACACCGTTTAGGCCCGGGTGGCCCCGGGGAGCTGCAGGGAAAGAGCACTCCCTGTCCCTGGGGAAAGGGGCCTGAGGAGCTGCCTTGCTAACGTGTAACTGGAGAGCGGCTGTGCTGCCAAGGCTGGAGAGGCGTTTGAAGGTGTCATCCCCTGTTTGTGGTTTACTTTTGGGAGTCAACCAGAACTGCTAAACGCAGAGCAGATGCGGTTCCGGGGAGCGGTGCGGTTCCGGGACAGCAGCAGCAGAGCCCGGCCCTGCACAGGGGGCGGCAATGAGGGAGCTGCGGGGCACTTTTGCTTCTCCCCTCCCACTTGCAGCCTTCTTCCGCCTCCTGCCGGGGAAGCAACCGCTTCCCCCTCGCCAACACCGGAGCCGAACCCTGGGAAAGAGGTCATCAGTCGGGTTTGGGTCCTTCTCTTAATACCCAGTTATCAGAGGCATTCAGGGGACGTGCGGAAGGTTTAATGTTTTCAGAAGGGCTGCAGGGCAGATTTGGGTGAACATCATCTAGAATGTCAAGACACGCCCTATGGAAAAACAGGGCTGGGACGGAGCTTCAGAAAAATTTGCTTCGTATGTATTGGCAGTGCATAAGCCTGCCGCGTTTTAGGCGTGCAATGGAAGGCTCAGGGAAGAAGGGAGTTTTTCTCACGGGAAGGACTACACTTTTGGATACACGCAGGAATTAGATTTTAATCTGCAAAAGCTCTGGGCAAAGGGTTGTTGTAAGATCTACCTATGCAATACAAACCGATTGGCACCCAGGACTGCTATGCTATTTTCCAAACCTATGCATTTATTTAACACTATTTATTGCCAGTCACTTCAGGTATTATCATTAATCAAAGGCAAGTAGAAGGCTTTCGACCTTTGTCATGAGCCCGCTGACAGTTTCAAGTTCTCCGCAGCTTCCAGTTGTCCAGCAAGTTGGGATGAAGAAGAAAGGAGAGGAGCAAAACCTGCACCTAAGTGAAAAACGACAAGAAATGGCGGCCAAACTTGTCAAAAGCATGGTAATGATTTATTTCCAACACCAACTAAAGTGATTTTCCTTCAGAAAATCGTGTGGGGGAAAGGCAAAACGAATTTAATTCAATCCTGTAGGTTAAAAGCATATGATAAAAGGAAAATTCACCCAGTATGAAACATAATTTCTCATGCTTATTTCTTTACTGGATTTACATGCCTGTGTTTAGGAGCACCTTTTCCAAATTTAACGTATCTAGCAGACATCTAATGCCCTTGCCCTGAGGTACCATCTCATTCAGGAACACATCTGTTTTCTGGAGTACACATAGAGGAATAAAGGCAGTGGCAGGGTGGGTATTTAAGCTGTACCTTCTGGAATTGAAAGCTGTTTGAGAAGCTGGAGGCTAGATTTAACAGAACACTAGGGGTCTGAACTCATTTTAATTCAAGACTACTGAAAGTATGCAGTTGTCAGCGGGGCAATGCTCGAATTTCACTGAGCGAGGCAGTCGGCATCTGGGGCTGTGGGCACTGTTTCATCCGTCACCAGTGCAAACATCAGCCTCTTTAAAGTGATCTGAAAGCGTCCCCAGTTGAATTTCCCTTTCTTGTGGAAGACAGGTTAATCAGTGGGCAAGTCTGCCACTTCGGGCCTGGCCCCCTCCTCCCAGGACTCAGCTCCACAACTTTATCTGAGGAAGCAAACGACCCAGATAACTGCTCCCTCCGATTTCAGTAATGAACAGCACGAATTTATCATTCCAACACCACAGCTGGAGTCGGTCCTGACACTAAAATCTTGCCCCCTCCTTCTCCCCTCTCTCTGCCACGGAAGTTTAACTGCAGGACGCATATTTGTCAACCTCAAAGATGTTTCTATTTATAGTCGTGATGAAGCAGTTTAAAGGATTACTTTAGGAAGGTAAAGGTAAGACTCTCTGAGGTACGGCTGAAGGAGCCGCTGCGGGAGGTTCCCGAGGGGGCTGCCCCTGCCCAGCATTCCCCTTCAGAGACTCGTGTCGAAATTTTTCACCTGCTTTTAGCACCGATTTACTGCTGTCGTTCCCGCACAGCGGGGGTGTGCTACCCCCACGGCCAGCCTGCTCCAGGGTGCTCCCCGGACACGGCACACAGGTTCGCCGGGGAGGTGCTTGAATGACTGGGAGCTTCGCTGCCCATTTCAGCGAGGAGCTCTTCTTGATGGCATACCATATGTCCACGGTTACATTAAAAACAGACCCAAACTTTAACCTACTTCGGTAAGATAATTTTTACAGTTTTTACTCTTCAGCTACAAAATAGGTCGCCCTTTTTATTAATTTTTAAATTAATTCATATTAATCAACAATCTGAAAAACCACCAAATAAAGAACAGCGTGGAGTAGACACTTTCTGAGCAAGTAGACACTTTCTGAGCCCTTAAAGTTTTGTTTGTCATTCGAGCAAGAGAGACAGAAGAAGATTGTCTACAGAGAGGATGACAGGACGGAATGCTTAGTGCAAGGGACATTAGTAAAAGTAGTTTAAAAAGCAACAGTGATCGACCACAAAGTACGATAACATCCTTTGGAGGAGATATCAGCAACCAGTTTTATTATTTCCCTTTTATTTGTAAAAGTGCAAAATTATTCTGTACAAATCCAACATATAAAACCCAGCATTCTGTACAACATTACAATAGCATGTGGATCTCTAACAAGATCTCCGACTCTGTATTTCACGTGTGTTACTAACATCATGATTCCACAGCAGGAACAGTTTGACATGTCACTGTCGGACGGTGGTGGTAAAACCTGCACCACCTGGACAGCGAAACGGCGAGTCGCCTTTTAAACCTCGAGCAGGCCGCGGATACCCTGTCAGTTCTCAAGATTCAAATAAATTACATAAATAGGAGCGGGGCTGAGGGCCCGCCCGCAAGTCCAACACAAGAAGAGCCGTGTTCCCGAGGAGGCCCTCACACGTCGGGGTAGCCGCAGTAGTACACGGCGGTGCTGGCGTCCGACACGGCCGAGGAGACGGGCCCCACGCTCTCGGCCACGTCGTGTCCGGCGAAGGTCAGCCCCAGCTCGGGCTTGCAGGCGAAGTGCAGGTACTGCTCGAACTCGGTGCGGTCCACCTCGCCCAGCAGCTCCTCCGGCGGCAGCTGCTCCAGCTGCTCCCGGCACGGCGCCGCCTCGGGCGGCGGCGACGGCTGCCCGACGGCCCCCGGCGGCAACGGGCCGCGCCCCGGGCCCGGCGGCTGGCACGCCTGCCCGTAGTAGGCGTGCAACGGCGCCGGGCAGCCCAGCAGCCCCTGCAGCCCCTGCAGCGCGGGGCCCGGGCCCAGCGCCTCGCCGGAAGGCAGGTGCCGGCGCAGCGCCGCGCCCGCCGGACTCTCGCCCGCCGCCGCCGAGTACTCGCCCGCTGCCGCCGGGTGCGGGGCGAAGCCGTAGGGCACCAGCGCGCACTCCTCCTGCAGCCCCGCCGCCAGGAACGGCGCTTCGCTCTCCACCGTGTCCAGCGGCGACGGGTCCGGCGTCGGCAGGCTGTACCCGTCGAAGCCGGCGCCCAGCGGCGGACAGTCCCGGTAGTGGCCCACGCCCGACACCGCGTAGCCCTGCTCGCCGTAGGGCAGGCTCAGGCCCTCCACGCACATCCTGCCGCTGCTGCCGCCTGCCTCGGTGCTCAGCCCGGGCCCCGCCGGCTCCGCCAGGCCGTGCTGCAGGAAGCCGCTCTCCACCCGCTTCAGGCGCTTCACCTGTTTCCGCCGCCGCGGCCGGTACTTGTAGTTGGGGTGGTCCTGCATGTGCTGCACCCGCAGCCGCTCCGCCTCCTCCACGAACGGGCGCTTCTCCGACAGCGACAGCGCCTTCCACGATTTACCTGCGCACACGACCACCGTCAGACCGGCCGCACACGGGCGGGACTCCGCGCCCGGCCCCGACGGCGCCGCCGTCTCGTCCGCAGCCCGGCCCAGAGCCCCGGGCGGGCGCCGGCTTCGAGCTCTCGAACCCGCCCCGCGGGACCCCGGCATATCGGGAGCTCCGCACACCTGGAACCCCGGCACAACGGGAGCTCCCGGATCCGCCCTCAGTCCGTGCCCCGACACCCACCCGAGTCCCCCATTTCATGAACCCGCCCGCCGCATTCTACGACCCGCCAGTATCCCGAGCCCCCATCCTCGCCTGCCGGCACCCCTCGCGCTCACCCAGCATCTTGCTGAGCTCGGCGTTGTGCAGGTCCGGGTTCTGCTGAGCCAGCCGCTTGCGCTCGTCCTTCGCCCACACCATGAAGGCATTCATGGGCCGCCGGATCCGCGCCTCGCTCTTGCTCCGGCCGCCCGACGCCCCTGACGCCGCCGCCTCGCCCTTCGCCTTCGCCTCGCCCAGCGGGCTCAGCGACTCTGCCCACGGGCATGGGCCCACGGCCGGCATCATAACGGGCAACGAGCACCGCCCCTGAGCCTGGTCCTCGCTGCTGGCGTAGCCCGCATCGGGGCTGCTCATGTCTGGCTGCGCCGCCGGGGCCGAGAGCTCCGGTGGGGGAAGCGGCTGCTCTCGTCGCTCGGGCCCCGCTCGCTGCTGGCAGCCGCTGTCGCCCGGCCCTATTTGAGCGGCGACGCGGCCAATGGGGCCTCGGGGGGTGGGGACACCGGGCGGTGGCGGCGTCTCCCCCTGCGGTGCGGGGCAGCCCCGGGGCTCCTCCCGACGCGTCCGGCACCTGAGCAGGTCGAGTGTCTCTGTGCCCAGTACTGCCCCCTTCCCCGTGGAACTGTGAGGGGGGTCGTTCGGGTGAACCGATAGCGCATTCGTAAACGGAGCTCGGAGCTCATTCCCGCTCCCATGGTGGCAGCAGAGAATGGCCCGCCGAGGTCCTGCGTTACCGGCATGTCTTCAGGTAGATATCCACCGGGTACCTGCCCAACTAGAAAAGGAGAACCCTGACCAAGGGGAACGTGACAACGGTGGAAGGTTCAGACTGCTTCCATCAGGAGCCAGATACCCTGTATCTCCCGGAGTGGTACAGGCGGCTCACTTGGTGGGCCGGCTTGGAAAGGGACTGCGGAAGAATAAGAGCAGCCATCACCCTGCAGCCTCCTGCCGTCTGGTGCCACCTTAACGAATTTCACCCCTAAAGCTCTAAAATATGGAATTCTAAAAGGGTGGGGTACTATATCCAGCGTAAAGCCTATAAAATACATCCGATCTCACTTCTTCATACTTCGTAATAAAGTTACTCAGTATCTGCCAAAAGTGCAAATATTTACTGTATGTAGGGTAAACTGACCTGATTATTTTTTACGTGGGCTTTGCTGCAGGCGTTGCTTGCTGCATTGACTTCTTCAGGAGCTCTCATTTGCCCACCTAAACAAACTTTAAACACAAACAGAGCTTGAAAAGAGTCCTTCAGTTCAGAATAAACACAAATTCTATCTCGCTACCATTTATGTTATTTTTTCCGCACACAAATAAATGCAAAATACGGCGTTTTCACGGGCGCTGTTTAATATTTGCACTGTTATGTGGTGCTATTAAATGCATCGATGCTTATTTGAGAAAGAGCCGAGCTTTAAACTGAAGATCAAAGCGGTTTATTTGGTTAAGGACACCTTTGTTTGGGTGGCCACTTCGATCAAATAAACCAAGATTGTAAGGATCCTAGCTGAAATGAAATGAATGAAAGCAGCATCACCATTCGCTTACTGTAACATTGAAAATGCCGGTTTGGGCAGAGTAAAACCCGCTCCTTTACATTTGACAGCCAGTCAAGTGTATTCCCAATATATCCAAAATATTCTAAATGTTTTTCAATTTTCTATGAAGAAGAAAACCTCAGCGACTATCGGTACCTGCGCAAGATAAACATCGGGAGGACAACTACGGCGGCACTTGTTCATTCACACTTTCTGCTTCCCCCTGTTTGTTAGAGATTATAATATATACAATCTATATATTTCCAACCTAATGGTAACCCTGTATTTATCCTTGTTGCGACAAGTTGAAACCGTTGCCAAAATTCTGGTAGCTGCCTAAAATCAAGCAAAGAGCAGCTTTTAGTGTTATTTCCCCTTCCCCCGTCGAAGGGGAAACGAGAGGCAGCGATCACAGAGCTCTGCTTTTCTTCTGTCAGATGCTATGAAAAGCAGCGGAGGCGAAAACAATGTTTCTACACATATGGATGTATAAATTGACCTCATACAAGTATTTAACTATCCCATTCTTGCAAAAGTATAATGCGTTCAAAACCTACTGTGAAAGAAACTCATCTGGACGTGTTCCGCTTGCAAACCGACCGTCAACACAGAGCTGTCAAAACTAACCAGGAACGCTTTTTAGGAATTAATTTTTTTTTTTTTTTCTATTAGTTTTCAGTCCCTCGCTTTTGGGGGGCCTCAGGGCACCCCTTAGGCTGGTGCGCCAGTGATTTTGATTTATGGCTGAGGCAGTGATATTTCCCGACCCGACGTACCAGGACGCAGAGCCCCAGGGTATGACACACACGGCCGGTACCCAGAGAAAACGCTAAATTTACCAGAATTCGGACCGCGTCTGAGGTGAACTCCCACAGGAGGACAGTGTGTGTGTTTTTCCCTCCTGAGACCAGAACACTCAGTTGAGGGGGAAAGTGGGATAACTCCCAAGCGAAACAAAACCTCAGAGGGTCACAACGCACTGCCCGGGAGAGCCTCGTCCCTTTCCCAGCTCACGCCGTGTCACTGACCCGGCCAAAACCGGCTGCCCTGAATTTTTTCAACCTTTTATTTCTTGTTAAAACGCCAAACTGTCCCTTTCACTCTACTGAGCAGGAACATTTTCGGCAGGCAAGGGAACAAATCCTGCAAGAGCTAGTACTGGAAAAGTTCAGCGGGTTAAGGGACCGCTTGCAAACACGGTTTACAGCAGTCTGGGGGCTGTCACTTCCAGCATAAAAGAAAATGTTTTTCTATATAATGAACACGAGGCAGTAAACTAAGCAAACTGCCCTGACTTTGTTCGGCAGATTTGTGCAAACCGTTTCTACAGCTCATTGATCTGGGATCAAAGAAAGAAAGGTGTGTTTTGAATCGAAGCCGAGAAAGTAAAAGCTCCCTCTTTGTACAGAAAATATGGGCAGTTTGTGACCCTTTCAGTGCCCCTGGCGTCATAAGTAGATGATCTCACATATTTTCTCGATTTCTGTTTTGACTCTTTAGGGATTCTTGAATTGTAACATTCAAACACCCCTCACAGCACTGGCTCCCACTATGGTTGCGCTCTCCACTTCCACCGCTCTTCCCTAAAGCGTTTACTGAAGAGCTTCGTCTGACACTCCCGAAACCTTCGTGGTCGCACGACTCCCGGGGTCATTCGTGAACTTTCCCAACCTAACAATGCCGCCGGGAGTTCATCCTCCTGATTTATTGACCTTTTAAACCCGGCGGGGCACGGCGCGGGGATCCTCCGGCCAGAGATGTGTTTCTATTTCAGGTCGGCTGCGGCCCGCGGTGTTGGAAGTGGTGCTCCCGGCGTTATCAGAGCCGACCACAAATGACACATGAAAAGCAGCAAACATCCGGAGGGCTTCCTGCAAACCAAGCAGTTTCTCAAGACAAGAGCCTCCCCCCCCCCTTTTTAAAAAAAAAAACCCACGTGTGTTTAAAGGCAACACACTTTGCCTCTTTAAAGCAGCTCAAAAACACTAAATGAAACCAGCCCAGCCCGATAACGCTGCACAGGGCAAGAGATCCCCCGAATGAAGGCATGAAGGCTTGCCGGGAGTTAGGAAAGTGTGTGTACCACCGAGGTCCTCGTCAGGAATGGCTCTACAGCCAAGTAATAGTCCCCAATTAAATAGTTACTGCTTCTCATGAGTTAGTTTTATCTGCAAATTGCATTCTATCAAACGGACCCAAAACCCCAAACCAGAAAAAACTTGCCGCTCACAACCAGAGCGGGAACGCTGCCGTGGAAACCCGTACATCGCCAGGGCTGGGCGGCTGCTGAGTGAAACAACACCCCGGGGCAGCCGCCGACCCCGCACAACGCGGTACCTGCAGCTTTGCGCTGCTGCGCTGCGCTGCGGAAGCTGCTGTGTCCCCGCGTGTTAGGGCAGAAGGGCGCTTCCCACTCCAAGGTAAGAGCGCTTTTGCCTCCCGATGGACACGAGTGGGGTTCCCCCCACGCCGAACCACCCGCTCCGGGCAGCAGATTGGAGGCGAGACGGCCCCTGCGCTGCAGCCGGCGGTCTTGGGGCCGGGGCAGGCAGGGCAGGACTTCCCTGGGGGTCTGACAGCTGTCCCGCAGCCCTCTCTGGGCCGCCTGGGCGAACTTCGGAACCGATTGGACTGGAGGCACTGAGATGCCGTTCATTTATCCGCCGAGGGGCTCCGTCTCAAGCAGACACCCCGGGGTCGGTGCAGGGACTGCAGTGCTGTCCCTTTAGCGGTCGCAGCCGAGCACACGGGACGTTTCAGAGTCCTGGACCACCTTCCCATTCTCCTATCCTTTTTTCTCTGTGGTAGGAAATACTTTATACATATACAAATACAAAAACGACATCTTGACATCTGCCGTTCTTCCAAGTACATAGGGGCACGTACCATGTGTCACGGCACTGAAAGACAGTCAGAAAATTTCCTTGTCTGAAGGAAACGGCTTTTCTGTGAAGTTACTGAGGTTTTGCACCTCTGCTGAACCCTGGCAGTGCCCAGTATGTGGAGCTGAGGTACTGGGGAGGAGAGAATCTCCACCGTGCCTGCTCCTAGGAAGGAGTTAACTCTGCCGCCGCCGGGACTGCTTGGGCTTTGGTTTGGCTTTCATTCGGCTGCAACGGTTTCCCTACATCAGTCTGAAAACATAAATCATATGTATGGGAATCAACGGGAAATGGCATGTTTAACTCACACGAGTGCGAGGTACTTCTGTAATATCTATTCCAGTTAGACAATACATGGACCCAAACAAATTCTGATAAAATCAACGGCAAATGCTTCTCAGTTTAAATTACATTGAAAGGAAGCCTAGAAATAGCACTTTCCTCAAACTGCTAAGAACACAACCTAGATCTGAGTCTCATCACACGTTACACTCATAAATGCTCCTTTAACACAAAGATTAATTATTGATCACAGACCTGTTTCATTTTCCTCTGTAACATGAAATTCCAACAATTTGATTACACAAGGATATTCTGATTTCGGTACCCCTCAGTTTAAGAATTAGTCACGAAGGACGACAAAGCAGTCCAATAGCCGGAGCGAAATAAACCCCCCAACACTGAATTTCCAAGAACAGAAATCCTGTTAGCTTTCATACTTAAGCACAAAGAAGTTAAAAAAAAAAAAAAAAAAGAAGAAGAAAAAGAAAAACCTGCTTTATACAATGCTGGAGCCACTCCAAAAGATCAGGGATCTGAACTAAACAATTTGGCCTAGCCTCTCCTTATACTTATGCTGGTTTTATGTCAGCAGAGCTACTGCAGAGTTGTGCTAATATAAGATTTATTCTGACATGCTAAACGCTAAAGTGACAGCTCAGCAAAGGACAAGTCACGTAACTGTACTATTAAAAAGCTGACCCTAGTTACACTGGAGTGAAAAAGATTTCTTCATTGGCA